TCCTCCTCCTCCTCCTCCTCCTCCTCCTCCTCCTCCTCCTCCTCCTCCTCCTCCTCCTCCTCCTTCTCCTCCTCCTCCTCCTCCCCCTCCTCCTCCTGCCCCCATTCTTCTTCTTCTTCTCCCTCTTCCCTTACTTAACCTTAGCTCTCCCTTCGATCCTGCCTTTCTGCAAGTTTTCTTCCTTGCTATCCATACAGTTGTGTTGTCCCAGTCTTTTCGTGAGATGCTCGAAAGAATAACTACCAATTCGAGTGAGCGATGTAGCTAGTGAAACCATGATGGTTAATCACAAGGAGCCTGTCATTTTCTGCATTCTCGTGACGCTGAGCCATTACATCATTGCAGCGAGTGAAACAAACTGTTCACAACTTCCGTCCAATGCTTTCTGGGAGGGAAACTCGTCGTTTTCCCTGACATGTACATGGTTGTGCCTACCTGGATTCGACGAAGTGAAGGGAGGTTGCAATCCTTGTCTCACCTGCGGGCCTTCAAGCTACAGCTCTTGCTGGTACCCGACCATGGATGTTGAAGTCGACAACTCCATCCCCACAATCCAGCAGACGTGCATCAGGGCGTGTGCAAACGTCTCGCTTGTGAGCACAGGTGTGTGGAGCAGGAAGAGCAGTACCAAGTCGTGTCAGTGCGCAAATAAGATGTTCGAATCGACACGAGATTCTAAGAAGTGCGAAGAGCTGATAAGCATCGACGAGACAGGAAGGTGTGAAGGTCATGTAAACACTACGACATTGTTTGGTTATGTAGTTATGGACCATACAGTTCTAGACAAAAATGCTGCTGCATTTGCTACTCCCTACCGAGGAAATTTGCAAGATTGTGTGGACACATGCAATGCTGAAAAGACCTGCCGCTGCTTCAGTGTGTTTTCAGATGTCAACTTAAGACGGACATGCATGTACAGCACAACTTGCCTCTCCAAACGTGTTGTCAGTAGGTTTTGGGAGCCTCAACCTTCAGAGAGCGCGCAACCGTCTCTTCTCTACGTGAAGTACAGTAGCGCTTGCCTGTACTGCAATGACGGGAAAACTACAAAGGATGGTCTTGACTACTGCAAGTGTCCAGAAGGAAGTTATTTGAGTCCAAAGATTGAACGTAATTTCAGTTGTCTGCAGCCAAACTCAATAGATCTGCAAACTGAATATTTTGATACTGAGTTGGGCGAGAAATCCCTCGTAAGTATGTGCCTTTCATCCGCGAGAAGTAACAATCGAGATGCATTTTGTTTCAGTCCCTCTGCTAGGAGATGCTATCTACGACACGATGCAGGCAGTGTCTGCCTGGCTGATCCTTCAGCTTCCCCACAAGCTCCAAGACAAGTCTACCGAAGGTTCTCATTGCACCTGTCGCAACGATCTTGGATGGAAGCTGAATCATTTTGCGTCGGGCAGGGCGGGCATCTTGCCTCGATTCGGCATGTCAGTGAAGTGTCCCGCATAAATGAGTTGGCTCGCGACGTGAAGGATGTTTGGATTGGATTGCGCGTTGAGGCCCAAGGGGCTCAGACAGAAACCAATCGAGTGAGCTGGTCTGACGGGTCTTCACTCTCAACTCTGAGTGACTTGAGTGGTTTAGAACCGGGTTGCACTTCCTTGCGACCTTATTCAGGCTCATACTTCTCGTCTGATTGCAATCACACCTCCCTACCCTTCGTGTGCTCTTACACATCATCTGATGTGCTACAACTACAAGAAGATCTCACGTGTTACTCGACTACTTCTTTCTGTCGCCGGTGTCCCGACATCGATAAATATTTTGGACCGAATGTCGTCCATGGGTATGGAGACGCCGAGATGAAAACTTGTTCTTTGAGGTGCAAAGATGGGTTTTCTCATTCATATTCATTGTTTTACTGTAATGGACGGCGATCGGCACTTTGTAACAAGCTGAATTCTTGCAGAAAATCCATGGAACGTGGAGAGGCCGTGTGTGAACAGAACTTAATGCGATGTGGAGTTAGAGAAGAAAGCCTCCTTCTTCGAATTGTGTTTGCTCTGCCATTCATGGTGGGTCTTTTGTTATTCATCTCGATGCGCCTGTTTCCCTCTGTTTGGATGATTCCTGACGGGAGTGGAAGGATGAGATGCAATTCTTGTGGAATGTCACTCTGCATTTCATGTTACAAGGAACGTATAGTAGAGAGAACTCAGCGACACGTTCGTCACGACGGGACTTTGGAAAGCATTTGCGTGAAGGATGTTGTGATGTTGAAGTGCTCAAATGCAGGACAGCGAGCAGCATGTTCGACATGTGGTGAAAGGAATAATCTTCCATGGAGTCTTGTCTGCGGACGATATTTCAAACGAGTGCATGACGGAGGGAATTTCAAGGTGAAACCGTTTGTTCCGTGGTCTGAATTCTCAGGCAGGTCTGTAATTTTTGGTTTGAGGAGAGTTCTGTTGTCCGACAACACTGCCAAGCACATGCAGTATCCTTTGATCATCTTAATCGTTTTAGTCATGCTCTTTATCATGTCGTTGGGCTATTATCACTCGCTGCCTTATTGGAACAAAACAGATGCAATCCTGGTGCTGATAATTCGTCTGAACTTAATTGGTTTGCCATTTATTGCCGTCATCTGTTTTTTCATGATCATGGCAGAGATGGAGAAGTTTCAGTGTTGTGTTTGCTCAGGAGACAAATCATGTCAAGTCTGCTGGACTGCAAGTGAGTGGCGCAAACACTCTGAGTCAAGAATAGACCTGTCTGTATTGAGTCCAACAACAGCAGGAACACGTCCAGGTCGCTTCCGCTACGTGCGGAATGGGATTCGATGCAATAACGTCTTTCTATTTCAAGGGATGACAGAAACAATCGTCTTGCAAGTTGAGTCAAGTGAAGGAGATGTCTATCCGGCTCCCATCTTCCTCCTTGGAAGAAGTTCCCAGTCGTTGCCGTACGTTTCCCTCGACGCAAAGACCGGCGATCTGATCTTTCAAGCATCGTGTAAGTTGTGCAAGAAAGAAGAGAGCTTTGTTACAGTTCTTATCGCAGCTGTCAATCCTCTTGGCATCGCTATGACATCAGTCAGAGTGTTCATCGATCCTCTTCCCCGTTCGCCTTCCAATCTTACTTACGAGAATATCGACGGGTACATCCTTATGAACGAGGCACAGCTCTTCAAGCAATGCGACATCTCCGGCAATGTACAATGTTCGTGGTGTATGGAGCAAAGCACTGAATTTATGATCTGCGAGACTTGCATTCGCAAGGGAAGATGTTCTCCGATGCTCTGCATGCAATGTTACTATGAGTTCGAATGCCGTCGAATGTCACGTCACCCTCATGGTCATAAGTTTGTGAATCGAGCCCCGGCGCAGCTGGGTTCTTACGTGCGGCATTCAACTAGACCTCCACATAAGAAGGGAACTTCCGGCCGTCGAAAGCTCGTCGAGCGAACTTTGAAGATTAAGGATGCGTCTACCGACATCATCGAGTATTCTTCGCGGCTATCAGACGTTTCTGGTGGGAAACTTCCTAATGGTCACATGCGTTTCCTGCTATACCTGTTGACACCCATCATACCTTCTGCCATCGTTGTATGTGATTACATCGGATTATATCCTGTATCTGAATATTACTTGTTTGGACCATTCAACATTGCTCTGGTTGCTGGTCTAGCGTTTGTTGTTTGGCGATGGTTTGAATCGTTTCAGAGCAGCATGTACGGATCAATCTCGGTCAAGTGCCTTGGATACCGTTACACAGCTGTCAAGGTCGCCGAGGACGGGGTTCTGACCAGCGATCTCTCAGTTGACATAATCGACGAGCAACCGCACCCAACGTTTCAAGTGCTGGGAACAGAAACAGTTAAGACGAAGACTCATGTGCAAGCGATGGCAAGGCTAGATGCTTGTGGTTATCCGCTGCCAAGGTTCTCAGCTGAGACTGCGTTGCCCCCTGGCCTCTTCATTGACGAAGAGAGTGGCTGTCTCTACGGGTTTCCGCTCCAAGACGGCGAGTTTGAGATCCGCGTCCGTGCACACAACGAGTTTGGTTCTTGCTCCTGCTTTCTGAGGATGCGAATCTCGCCATCGAGTTTGGGCAGTGGGAGCAGACGCATCATGCCAAGTCGCTCTCCTTCCCTCCCTGCGCTGATGCTCCGAGAAGATGTTCACCATTCCGCGAGGATTCAAATCTCTCAACAGACGCCAGGGGAAGGACGAAAGTCAAACGTCCGAGATGTCTTCCGGTATATGAGGTTAGACCTGCTTGAGTCTCAAGTATCTGTCTGTAATTCTGCCACTCACTTGAGGACCTTTGTGGGGCAAGTGCAGGATGGGATCGCGACTGCCAACCTCACAGGATCGTTCCTCGTCCTCTCGCAGCTTCCCGGGGACCTTCAGCTCGATGCCTCGTCCGGGACTATTCGAGGAAGTTTGAGCCCTCGTGCCATTCTCACCTCCTTGCCAGCCGTCTGTGACGCTATCTTCCTACACGCCAACGGGCAGCAGCACATTCGCACCCGCCTGTTTCTGACGGTGTCGGAACTTCTCGGCGAGCTTGCTCTGCCTTTCAGCTCCATCAAGTATGCGCACATCAGAGGTGCGAGTTACGGCAAGAACATGAGGCTACCCGACATCCCTGACATCTTGGCGGTTGAGCCTGAAACGTTCTCAATCAGGTTCGAAGACGAGGTTTGTATCGCCCCGTGTCTGGTGGCCTGTCAAGCTGTGATGAGTTCGCTTCGGCACGAGCTGCTGATCTCTGATCAGCTCGTCTTAACGGTCGCACACTGTCCTGCGTCAAAATGTCGTCCGACGCTCGGGCGCATGAGAATCACGTCGAGTGGATCAGAAGTGCAGGAGCTTGACCTGGAAGTCAGCTGGGGTGCTGCAGAAGAAGGCTGGATGAGGACGACTGACATCAGTGACTTGTACTTGTATGCCACAAGCATGCTGCCGGGATGGCGGGTGAAGCCTCTATCAGCCATGGTCGACGGAAAGCTTGAGCTGCACAAAAATCCTTTACCTCCAGGCCTCAGTCTGAGCTCACAGGGAGTGATCTATGGGATCGCCGAGCTCCCTCACCCCACAGTCATGTATGAGGTTGTGCATGTCGGTGATCCAGCAGACGAGAGTAAGCTCATCTGCATCAATGTGTCCTCGTCAACGAGTACAAGGCGACGGGCCTTCGTGCGAACTGTTTGCTTTGTCAACTCTTTCTTGCAATCACTCGCTTGTCGATTGTACGTCCGGAGAAAGCTCGAGTTGTTGTGGATTAAGAGTTCCGCCGGAAGCTTTCAGGATCTCGACTTGGACGAGGTTTTGAGGTATTGTTCGCCTCCTGTGAAGCGGCTGGGTGGGCATCTCAATCAGAGTCGACAGGAACCAACAAACGTGACGATTCCTGGTTTTGATGTGCTTGGTCTCATAGGAAGGGGAGGACAAGGAATTGTCTACCTTGCTCAAGCAGAGGGGTCTCAATCAAAGTTTGCTGTCAAAGTCTGCAATAGGCCAGACGAGAGAGAGTACCAGAATCTGAAGACTCTGCAACAACTTCAACACCCCAACATTGTCAAGATGTTTGACTGTCTTGTAGAGCCTTTTGCGATTGTGATGGAGTTTGTAGAAGGGCAGTCATTGAAGGAGATCATGCAAACCTCAGAGGACGGGGAGTGCAGACAGCTTGGTGAGGAGATGGTGCAGACGATCGGCGGTCAGATGCTGGAGGGACTGTCTCTTCTACATCGAATGGGAATCATTCATCGCGACCTCAAACCTTCCAACATCATGTGTTCCTTCCCGCACGCTGACGTCTGCCGAGTTGTTCTCATCGACTTTGGGTCTTCCAAGCATCAGGACTATAACGAGACTTTGACGCGCACGGGTCAGTTCGTTGGAACCTGGCAATACTTCAGCCCCGAGCAGTGCCGCGGCGATCCGCAGCTGGATGCACGGGTGGACGTTTGGTCAGCTGGGGTTGTGCTGTACGAGATGGCGGCAGGAAGAAATCCTTTCTACTCACACGACGTCCTTGAGCTCTTCACTGCTGTGCGCAGACAGCCTTTCCAGCAGATCCCTGGTTGTGGCGCAGCGATGAACATCTTTCTCAAGACAGCCTTGAAGAAAGACCCCAGAGATCGTTTTTGTGATGCCAACGAGATGCAGCAGGTGTTTGCCGATGTGTTTGATGATCCTCATCAGGCAATTTGGAAACTTTCGTGTAGGACGAGTACGTTTGATGAGGCAAGAGAGGTTGCGAGTGCTAGACCTCTGCATGAACAGCTTGTTTCCAACAAATGGGGCGTGCTTGCTTTCTTCGTGAAGAGGAATATCAATGTTTCCATTCTCACGACGAAAATAGAGAACAAATTGAACGAGGAGAGTAATACTGATAGAAAAGATATGCTTACGACCCTTCTCAGGGACGAGCTTGAAAACATCGATCCTTTTGAAGAAGCAAACATCATGCAGGACACAACCATGAATGCGATGTTCGATATTCGCATCTACCCACAGCCGACTTTTGAAAACTTTGTTCGTTACATGGGTATCTGCAGCATCCGGAATATCAAGATCATCCATCTTTCAGGACATGGCGATCAGACGAATGGCTTTTGGTGGTTGAAAGAAGGAACCAAGACTGAGTTTGACTACAAGAAGCCTCTAGAGGTCGTAGACGTGATAGCCGTACAGGCCGGAGGGTCGCGGTCGAAGTCTTCGGTGGAGTGTGTTGTCCTCAACGCCTGTCAGTCTGAAAGCATGGGAAAGCAGCTGGTGGACCGAGGAGTGAAGCACGTGATTTGCTGGAAAGGCAAAGTTCATGATGAAACAGCTACAAGCTTCTCAAGGTTCTTCTATGAATCTCTCGATGATTTGCAGCCAGGAAACAAAGACATGGACTATGCGAGGATCTTTGACCGGGCGTGCTTGAGATGTCTCCACAAGCCGATGACGTCTGGACCTGAATCGCGAGGAAACTATTCCAAGACGATAGATAGGATTATGCTGCTGACTGCTGGTGAACATGTCTTGCCTAGATGTTGTTTAGTCATATCCTGACCGATTGGGTGCAGGTGGTACAATTGTTGAAAGGAAACTCTGATTCTGATCCACAGATCTGAAACTTGAGACTGAGATTGCCCCAGTGTTTTTGCAGATTTTAATAGCATGTTCAATTATTGTACACTAAGCACATGTTCATGCATTGTGACAAAATGCAGAATGTTCATTCATCGCTCACCACAGATGGTTCAATCCCCCCGCACTCATTGTCGTTCTTAATCTTTGTAAACTGTCGCCTTTTTAGTCGAAAGGAGCCTTTGAAGGAAATAATCTACATGTCAGGACTTTTGTTGGGCCTCGTCCTTCAAACTATCCAGATAGACATCTTAAAACAACATGTAAAACCTGACGATGCACATCTCCTATGATACATGGGATATGATAACACATCTCATCCGACACATCACATATCCTATCAAGCACGTCTCTTATATCACATCACATATCATATCAAGCACGTCTCTTATATCACATCAATCATATCAAGCACGTCTCTTATGGCACATCACATATCATATCAAGCACGTCTCTTATATCACATCGCATATCCTATCAAGCACGTCTCTTATAACACATCAATCATATCAAGCACGTCTCTTATATCACATCACATATCATATCAAGCACGTCTCTTATGGCACATCACATATCATATCAAGCACGTCTCTTATATCACATCAATCATATCAAGCACGTCTCTTATATCACATCACATATCATATCAAGCACGTCTCTTATATCACATCACATATCATATCAAGCACGTCTCTTATGGCACATCAATCATATCAAGCACGTCTCTTATATCACATCACATATCATATCAAGCACGTCTCTTATATCACATCACATATCATATCAAGCACGTCTCTTATAACACATCAATCATATCAAGCACGTCTCTTATATCACATCACATATCATATCAAGCACGTCTCTTATATCACATCACATATCATATCAAGCACGTCTCTTATATCACATCACATATCATATCAAGCACGTCTCTTATAACACATCAATCATATCAAGCACGTCTCTTATGGCACATCACATATCATATCAAGCACGTCTCTTATAACACGCTCGTTCCCATCATCATACCCTCCCTCACGCTCTCGAACTCCCCGACCAGCAGTAGGTCCCTGACGTTATTTCGGTTAACCTGCCACATTCTTCCCCTCCCGAATTTTCCATGGCGTATCAACTCCTCTTGCTCGCTCCTCTCCTTGTTCACTGCTTGCCTGCTCTAGGCTCATAACTGACACGGGCTCTTTGCTACCTTGTTCACCGTCTCGTCGCTGCTTCTTGCTCAGTGAGCGGACATGGCGTCTTGATGCTGAAGCCATGCCTGTCGGAGACTTTGCGATCGATGTCAGGAGCAGCAGGTCTCGTCCCCCAAGCAGATCCTTCAGCGTTCTCGACGGCAACTCTGGCGCAGGTCAGTCAGGGAAGGGGAGGGGCAACGGCAAGAAACTGGCGCATGTGGAGGACGGAACGCCGCTGGGGTACGGGAGCAGCTACGAGGCATATGTGTCCTACAAGAAGGATCGATGGTGTACCCACACCTGCCTGTGCCTTCATCATGCCGCCGCTTCCAACCAAGTCGACTTGGTTGAAGCTGCTGCTCGCGGTCTGCTGCCATACTCGAGGCTGCATGGACTGACAGAGGCCGATGATGCCGGGAGGACCCCAGCGATGGTTGCGGCCTGGAGGGGATCGGTGGAAGCTCTACGGTTTCTGGTGGAGGATGGAACCGATCTGTGCGCAAGGGATAAGAGGGGGAGGACAGTGTTTCACTGGGCAGCCTTGTCGCCGCGAGCTTACCAAGTCTTGTCGCTCTTGTGCGGTCGCAACGCTGATCCCAAAGTGAAAGATGCCCTTGGGGACACGTGCCTGCATGCTGTCATCAAGTTCGGAGATGTCAAGTCCGCTGAGTTGCTCTGTCGACATTACCCGCAGCTCTGCGTGATCAAGAACCAACTCGGTCAACTCCCTCAGGACATGTGCCAGCACAAACCGGACATGAGGGTAGAGCAAAGCTGAGGAGCTTGTTTGAGGTTGACCTGTGTGAAGGTGGTTGTTTCGGTGGATCAAGGCAAACGATATGTGCAGATCGAACAAGAGAGATTATGTCAGCTGGCAGAACAGCTTGACAAGCATCTGAAAGAAAAGGTGATTGTTCAAAGAATCCTGCTCCTTTGCTGAGATTCTTGCTGTCAGAAAACTCAACACGAGATAGCACAGAAGCAAGCCTTGTCAAGGAAACGGAGGTGATGTCTTGCTTTCATCTAGTCCAAATGATTAGATTGCCCTTAGGGAAAGTCTCGCAAACTCAACCAGCATGAGCTCGAGCTCGCAGATCGTCAGTTCCCTTTCCGATCGTCTTGTGTTGCTAAAACCCCTGCAGAGAGATTTGCGAGACGACTGGGCAGCTTTCGCGGATCTCCACGTGTGAAAAGAATTGTCATCCTCTCACGACTGATGTACCTCGCAGGAGGCAAGCAGCAGCACGTCTTTGCTCACTAGCTTAGAAGAAGTTCGATCATCGTCATTCAAGAACACAGGTAAGAAGCATTTCCTCCTGATGTCTCTCATGGTGTTGGCACAGAGGAGAACGGAGAGCAGTCGCCCGGGAGTGACAGCATGCCATACAAGACTTTGTTTCAGACAGAGGCCTGACTCTCTGATTCCATTCTGGCTCTGACCTTCTTTCACAGGATGACGACACTGCCGAGTCGTTTCTGGAGATCAAAGACGAAGACGGCAATGTGATCTTTCGAAAGAGAGAGAAACCGAGTAGACGATAGAGGTTATTTGCCTTGACGTTTATTACTTCTTGATCCACATCATCCCCATCACAAACAATATAGTGCTCGCCAAGAGTGCAAAACCATTTTGACTGTCTTGCTTCTGCGCCTCCATTCAGTTTCAGACAAGCCAGGGAAGAACACTTGGTCTCACATCGCTCGGCCCTTTTACAACTTGACTTGTGTACTCCTGCGCGCTCGTGCTTTCACGAGGTTCACTTGTTGAGTCTTGTCTCAGCTCCTCTTCCTTGCGGAGATGCTTGTTGTCGACACACTGCTGTTTAGAAGCCAGCAAGGCCGCATTCCACTCTCTTAATTCATTCATTTTGATCTTAATGTTGGCATTTTCACTGATGCAGGTGTCAGAAGGGAGGGATGTAACGTCATTACCTTTGCAGACTTGTTATGAAATCAGACAGATTGGCAATCTGTTGGAGAGAGTCGTTGAGGGAAGAGGTCAATCTCGTCACTTCAGCTTCCTGTCAAGTGCGTCATCTACCTGCCCTGAGGGTATGAGAAGGTTTCACCTTCATCTTGTAAATATCAAAGAGATCCTTCATGTCATCCCCTGCGATCTTCGACGCTGCAATCATTTCTCAAAACAGACATGACAATTGATTGTACTCTGCTTCACTCACATGATGCATCTGTCTTATCAGGATCTGAGCTGCTTGTTGTGTTCGAAAAATGAGGTGGGTCCATAGCTGCGTGAGTTGCGTTTACAACTTCTTGTGCCTCCTTTGTCGTCGCCATATCCGAGAATTGCATGTTGAATTTTACCTTTCCCACCTCGTCGGCGGAGCAAGTTCTTTGGTCTGAAAGGAAGTAACAAGAGAGCATAAGACAGAGCAGCCATATCAACGCAGCAGCTGCTCCGACCCTCATGTACCACAAGCTCTGGGCATTCTGACTTTGATCTCGCCGTTCAGAGCGCTCAGACTGATCTTGTTGAGATCTGTGGGAGAGGAGGACACAGACAAGAATGATGCCCAAGCTGACTCGACTCAATTGCCCTTCTTGTAGCTCTCCCAGGAATAACAGAGCAAATGAGACCTCGAGGACGAGCACGTGAAATGCCAACGAAAACGAGATGAAAAGCTTCTGATGGGACGGGATGATGTCTGAAAGGCAAAGACGAGCACAGTTGATGGGAGCGAGGTATTGGAGGATGAGAAGCCAGCTGCTTGCCTGAGACTCTACTCCGAGTAGGACCGAGGAAAGAAACATTTGTAACCAAAGGACCACAAAAGAAACATTGAACAGCAAGAAGAGAAGTTTGTCTTCCTCCTTCCCCTGTTGTTCTACCTGCTCCTGCTTATCCTGACTGGTTTCCTGCTCTTCTTCGGAGCTCATGAATCCTCCCATCCTCTCTCGTAGAGAGCGATAGGATCGTGCGCTCTCCATGCGACCGTCAGTGTTGTTGAAGAGAAGGTCTCCCAGGTCGGTCTCGGACAAGTCCATGTCTGTGGTGCGGTCTTGGTACACCTGGCGGTCGGTCAGTCGAGAGGCTCCGCGTCTCCTCCTCACCTGATGCAGAATCGCGTTCGACCGGAAGAACCTGGACATGAAGGGCATGGTCGCCATCTCACAGGCTGAAAATTAACAAAAAAAAAAGAAGAGATGACCATCTTGACAACTTTGACAGCTCTTTTCAACGGCTTGCGATGCAGTGAGGGCGGGCAGGAGGCGAAGCATGCACGCAATTCGTCGTGCAGTGCAGAAGTCAAGGCATCAGGATGAGTGAGCGAGGAGGAGGAGGAGGAGGAGGAGGAGGGGGGAGGGGGGAGGGGGGAGGAGGAGCAAGAGGAGGAGGAGGAGGAGGAGGAGGAGGAGGGGGGAGGGGGGAGGGTGGGAGGAGGAGCAAGAGGAGGAGGAGGAGGAGGAGGAGGAAGGCTGACAGCTTGACAGCTACATGTCCCTCTACCGCGAGGGCGACTACATTGCGACAGGAGAGATTCGCTGGGAGGCATCCGCTCGCGTCTTGATGCTTGCTGAGGACCTGACGGTGACTTTCAGGAGCCTGCAGCTCCTTTCCTCCCCCAGCACCCAGACGATGCCATACGTGCGCTCGAAGAAGCTCCTGACGGCCATCGCCTGCTAGACCTCTCCGGGCGAGGGCTGCGGGAGCTCACGGGGGTGGGCCCGGAGTACATCAACGCTCGAGTTGCGTCGCTGAATGACAACATGGTGAGCGAGGCGCGGAATGAGCCGCTGCTGACCTCCTCCTCGTCAGCTCCAAGAATTTCCCAGCTGCCTCGCAAGCTTGCGCCTGCTGCAGAAACTGAGAGTGGACTCAAATTCCATCGCTGAGGTAGATGATGTTTCTGCTTCAGAGCTCGCTGAGGACAGACACAGTTGCCGCATGCGATCGGAAGTTTGACAATGCTAAGAGAGATCAGAGCGTCTGACAACGCCATAGCGTCTGTTGCTCGCAGCATCGGGAATCTCTCCTGCCTTGTCGGATTGAACCTTCAGAGAAACATGATACTCAGGTTGCCCTTGGAGATCGGAGACTGCTGTCTGCTCGAAAAACTGATTCTATCTCAAAACCGCATCGCAAGATTGCCTTCTTCCTTGTCTAAACTTGCCAGTCTCAAGGTTCTCAAGGCTGACAGCAACAAACTGCAAGTGGTCGGATTTGATGCGTCGAGACTGTCATGCCTCGTCAAACTGGCGTTAAATCACAACAAGTGAGGGATCAAATGAGACATTCATGTTTCTGACATTCATGTTTCCAGCCTGACGATGCTTCACCTCTCTGTCGGTCAAGCTCCATCGCTTAGTGAGCTTTTTCTCCAGCGCAATCAGCTGGTCACTCTTCCTCCCTCGCTTGCCTTCACTCCTCTCAAGATCATACGACTCGACGAGAACCCTCTGCTTCGTCCTCCCGTGGAGGTAACGCGAGCAGGGGTGAAGGCAGTGCAGAACTTCCTCAAGAGTCTCTCCCTCTCTCAGTCGTCATGGGATCTAGATCTCTCAAGGTTCTGCGTATCTTCTTCTACCTCCTCCATACAATCCTCTCCCTTTCCTTTCCCTTTCCTTCCTCCTCAGCTTTGCTTCTCCTTCCGCATGATTATCTTCTGCTGACTCTGCTCATACAGGCAGGGCTTGAAGCTCGTCCCCATGCCCATCGGAAGCTACACGGAGATGTGGGAGCGAGACACATGGAAGAGCCTAACTCGGCTCTCGTTAGAAGGCAACAGCCTGCTGGAGCTGCCCGTCGAGATCGAGATCCTCTCCCTCCTTGTCACCCTCGACCTCCAGTACAACCAGCTCTCCATGCTCCCTCCCGGCATCGGGGGCATGTCGAACCTTGAAGTAGAACCATGGTTGTCTTGCTCCCTTGTCTGATAGCAGTCAAGGTGCTGGACATTGCGAGCAACCGACTGCAAGCTCTGCCAGCTCAGATGAGAAAGAATGTCATGCTGCAGGAGCTTCTTCTCGAGAACAACCGATTCATTCAAATCCCTTCGGTCTGACAGCGATCACCCTACCATGAGCGTGAGTTGACAAGATTGTCAGGTTGTTGGCGAGCTATTACAGCTCCGCGAACTTCGTTTGACAAGCAACAAGTTTGTGATGCTGTGCTTTGCTTTCTACCGACGTATCTGCTTGCTGCAGAATCTCAGAGATTCCAGACTTTATGACAAACCTTGGAGATCTGACGCACCTTGACGTCTCAAACAACAAACTTGTCGCCCTCCCCTCCTTCTTCATGTCTCTCGTGTCTCTCAAGGTTCAGATCTGTTGCATTCGCAAGCACCTAACATGCTGTTCTCTCAGATCTTGAATCTCTCCAACAACAAGGAGCTTAAGGCAGTTCATTCCGACATCACCAGACTTCGCTTCAGCGGTGATTCGTCTTCCCAGCAGTATGATGGTGACAGGCAAGCTGAGCCGAAGATTGAATTTGACATCACTTTCAACAGGATCTGGTGCAGGAGGAGGTGGGTTGGAAGCAAGAAAGAGACAAATTCGTCGTGTTCTGAGGGGTGGTGAAAGAATCTCCCATCGCATCCTCGAGCGAGATCCGACCCTCGCCGCGAGCTCTCGACGTCCAGCAGGAGCAGGAGAGAGGTGAAGCTCTGCAGTCGCTCGCACGAAATAGTGAGGGTTGACCCAACAGGCATGGATGGGACTTGGTGCGATTCGCAATCTTCGGCGAGAACGTGAGGGTCTTGTACATGTGGCAGGATAATCCACTGACTTGTCTTCTCAATCGTCCTCCTCGTCCTCCTCTCCCTCCTCCTCTTCCTCCTTGTTCTCCTCCTCGTCTCTGTGCTCCTTCTTTCGTTCCCTCCTCTCTTTTCTACTTCTCCTTTCCTTCCCCTTCATGTCCCTCCTCCTATTTGATTTCAGGGTCCATCAATTTCTGGCAAGACAGCCAAGCAGAGCGATGAGGGTCATGACTTTGACGCTGCCGACGACGCTGTCTTTGCGCGACTTGAGTCTGCAAACAAGCACTTGGAGGAGGAGGAGGGTAGAGGAGAAGAGCAGGAGGCCGCAGCTCCCCAGCGCGCGGGGTTTGTCATGTAACTCTCGTTTGCTTCTCTTGACCCTCACACTCGCTGCCTTCCTCCTCACTAACAGCTCCAATTCTTTGCGTTTCTCCGATTTACTCAAGCTTCTCATGACTTGTTTCAAGGCGGTTTCGTCAGAAGGTAGAGGCAGCAGCAGCGGATGTCGCTGCTGGTCGCTTGCCTCTGTTCAACAAGGTCGCTTGTCGCTTGCCTTTGACCAGTGCGACTGACTCGTGACACCAGAAACCTCCGACGCCTACCAACGAGAAGGAGGTGGGAATTTCAGCTGGAGTCTGCTTGTCAAATTTGTTGCAGGAGGAGGCAAAGAAACAGAGTCAGAAAGAAACCCCGGACAAGAAGGAAGACGCGAACAAGGGCAAGGAGAACTACAAACGTGCGGTCCCAACTGCATCGAGCCTTATGACTCTCTACAGACAGGCAATCAAAAGTAGAGAACCAGAGCAGAAAGCAGAGAGGAGATGCGATTTGAGCTGTCTAAGCCTGTTTCCTCGCAGGTCAAGTACGTGTTGACAGGACAGCAAGCCGAAGCCGAAGATGACGATGATGTCGGTCAGGCTTCAATTGTTGTCAAGCATGTACTGACCCAGACCAGGCTCATACCTTGAAAGACTTGAGCTTCTCGATCTTAGCAGCTGTAAAATTGAAACGCTCCCTAGCGGTAAGGTCCGATCCCTGGCCATCATGTTTGATCTGCTTGAAAGAGATCGGGAGGCTGTCGAATATCACTCAACTCAAACTCAACAACAACCTTGTCGCTCGTTTGCCGCGCAGCATCGCCTTCATGACCCAGCTCAAGTGAGTTGACTCGGAGATGCACTCTTCTGGTTTCCACCACCCCCTCGCACTTGACTGACTCGTTGGCAGAGATTTGCAGCTCTCGACGAACTTGCTGGCCGACGTTCCTTCAGAAGTTGGTACGTAAAAATCTCTTGCCTTTTTGGATCCTCTTGCTTTTCTCCTCGCCCCTTTCTTTCCTCATGCTGACATTCGAGTAGGAAGGTTGAGAAACATCGTTTCCTGCGACTTCAGTCGTCAGGTTGGTCGCTACTGAATGGCAAGGCATGATAAAGATCGTTCTCAGGGAGATGGAAAGATTCTCAACTGCTTGCCTCTGAGCATGCGGGTGTTGGGCTCCCTCCAAGTTCTTCGTTTGAGGTATTGACCAGGAGGAGGGGGAGGAGGAGGAGGAGGAGCACTCACCTGCTGATGCTTGCAGCTACAACGCTTTCGAAGAAGTTCCAGAAGCTCTTTTCACCAGGGGATCAGATTGTGGGATGACGAACCTGAGAGTCCTCGCTCTTGATCACAACCCACTCAAATATATTGACAACGACATCGGTGACTCAGGAAGTTGACCGACTTGTCGATGATGGTTGTGCTCAGCTGTTTGCTCCAAACTTGAGAAGTTTTACGTCAACAACACCAAGATCAGGAGGCTCAACGACTCGATGAAGTTCATGTTGTGGAGAAGGCTTGCCAATCGGGCGATGCTCACCCTTGCATTTTCAGGTGGGGGCTGAAAGAGCTGTGGATCAATGGCACAAGGGTGCGAAGACTCAATGTTGAGGTGAGCATGTATTGAAACTCTTCAGACTCATTTTTTCAAAGATGGCAAACTTGCCCAACTTGTCCAAGATTGTGTTGGATGACGAGGAACAGATTGAGAACTACCAAGAAATGCGGAGGTGAATATTGTCTTGGTGAAATAGCGGTCGAAACTGATGCACTTGGCAGGAGAATATCTCAAGAGAAATGGATGTTTGTACACTCCTGACTCTTTGCTGAGGATTTGCAAATAGGCAAAAAGAAAAAAATAATATCACATGTATTATGTTTCGAGTCACTAAAAGTTTTGAGAATCCCAGTAGAAATTCAAAGTTGATTGGAACCTTTCAAAATCCGCCTTTCAGCTCGAGAAGGCATCGAAGGAGCCAATCTCGCCGCTATCTGTCATATCGTGGAGCCTCTCAGCAGAAAGGTCGGAAAGAACTCTCAAGCACTTAATTCTCGTCGTTTTCAGATCCTCCATCGTCATCGTCATTGTCTAGATGCTTGTCTGCCCATTCCTGCCGCAATCACTTCACGAAAGATGATGTACCTCTACAGCATGACTCACCTCGTCGTCCTCTGCCGTGGATGACTGCATGTCTGGCATTCCGCCGCCCTCTCCAGCTTGTTGTCTCAGACTCTGAACTGCTGCCTGGACAAGTTGCTCTTTGTACTCCGCTGGAACTCCATGACTCATCATAAAAGTGTCTACGTCAGCTTCGATTCCAGTCATGTCTTCCAGCCCATGCTTGATGTCAAGGAACACTTGTGCATTGTTGTCCGAGGCCTTCACTGTGATTCTTGCCTTCACATCAGGACCTGGCGGTTCGTTGGCGGAAGGAGGAACGGGCATTCTGTTGGGAGGCTGCCGAGCTCTCTTGGGCTTCACGTCGTCGGTGAAGGCTACCATCACCATCCATGCGACGATACCGCAGGCAGCAGCGAGTGAAGCATAGTAATAATATTTCTGCCTTGCTCTCTTCTCCTGTTGCTTTTTTCGCTTCTTATCCATCATCTGTAGAATGAAAATGAGAAGTCTGCACAAAGCATTCGATTCAGGACAAAGATTTCAGAAATATTTCTGAATCAATTCATCAGAAAGGCATTCCTCATACATCTGAAGCTATTTCTGTTGAAAATCATTAAATATCCCTACATCCAATCAATTTATCTAAAAAAACAAAAAGCTCGCCAGACAAACACATTCTTCATGCAAGTTCCATTGTTCTCATCCAGCAACCTTCGAAGCAATACACAGTTCTCGTTCATAACCCTAACATCTATCCTTCTCTCGACTCAATCATTTTCGCACATACACAAGTTCTATCGAGAATCCCCACTGTGAATGCATCCATCGCAATCTTACGCCATCGTCTCTCGCCCCACTCAGCAATACGTCATCCTTCGGATTCACGCATCACTCCTCGCCCTCATGCACACTACACGCTCCTGCCCCTCCCCTTGGCAGCACATATTGATCTCGGTTCCTCAACATAGCAAGTCGTTCTTATGCTGCCCGTCTGCAATGCCGCATGCTGCCCGTCTGCCCTGCCGCATCCTTCGGATCCGCCATGCCGGCACGTTTTTTCTTTCTGTCGGTTTCTCTATCGTTATGAACATTTTTCTCACAGGGGGTGGTTAGAACTATCATTGGTAGGGGTGGTGTAATAGCTACCAGGTCACTGGGGTAGTGGGTGCTTTGGCTTTTCGGTCCTAGCTTCAAGCTCATAGGTTGGATAGGACCCAGATCTTATCTTGCCACCACCCCTACCCACTGCTGAGAAAGGTGATCACATTTGTAACCCCTCCGTATAATCCTAGGGCCTCCATATCAGTTCGGTACAACCACCCTAGGACCCCTCTAGGAGCCTCGTCGCGGTGCTTCGTCATCGGAAAAAAGGAAAAAAGAGACAAAAAAAACCACACAGAGAGACAAGCAAGAAGCTGACTCCTCTCTAAGTTAGTTGTGCTCGTCTTCTTGTTGTAGGTTGTAGGACAAGATGATGTGCCAACGTGTTTGCACGACTGGTGGATCGAAGAAGGTGGGTAAGATATCGCCGTCGGGTCCCGAGTGGGTTGACGACACAACGGTCACTCAATGCAAGTCTTGCGGGTTTGTCTTCTCCTTTATCATCCGCAAGCATCATTGCCGAATGTGCGGCCATGTATTCTGCAGATATTGCGCCGCAGAGACCTGGCCTCTACCCAAGTTTGAGTATTTGTCTCCTGTGCGCGTTTGCCGCAAGTGTGCAAGGCTATGCTGGAAGGCTGAGGCGCTCGTACAAGCCATCCAAGCAAACGACGTGAATTCTCTTATCAAGTACGTCCAGAGAAAGAACGACTGCAACCTTCACATTGCCGTCTTCCCTCCCCTCACTGTTGCAGCCGGAGGAGGATTCTCAGAAGTTTGCAGAGTGCTCATTTCCGGCGGCGCAAAGGTGGAGCATGCAGTTCCAGAGCCTCAGAACTCTGTCTATGTGCAGTGCAGCTTCTGCTTGAAGATGGCTGCCCACACGCCGAACCGCGCCAACACGTACGAGTGCTCCATGTGCCATGAGCTGACGACAGTCAAGGACGGTGACAAGGCTGGAGCAGCACAGGACCCGACTGATCACATCGGGCTGACTGCGTTGCATGCCGCAGTGAAAGTTCAGGGCCATGTGGATGTGGTGAATGCGCTGATCCAGCACCACGCTCCTGTGGACGCCAAGACTGCACGCGGCAATACTCCTCTCTTGTTCGCAGCCGGTGGCGGGCATGTGGACTGTGCTATCATTCTGATTCGTCATGGAGCCAACGTGAATGCGCAGAATGCAGACGGAGAGGCTCCTCTGCATCGGGCTGTGAAGGAAGGACACGTGAAGATGGTGAACCTGCTGCTAGACAAGGGAGCAGACAAGACGATCAAGAACAAGGGAGGTCAGACGCCGGTGCAGATTGCAGACAGGAGCAAGAAGATGGACATTGTGAATGCTCTAGCGCACCACCAGGGCCCTCAGATCAAGGAAGAGCATGCCAGCCAAGAGAACCCTCCCGATGGCAGCCACTCCGTCAATCCCAACCAAGTAAACCGCCTCTTGTTTTTGTTGTCTGGCCTGTTTCTGACCGCGCTGCAGATTGCAACACCGACTGGGGATGATCAGTGAGACAAGGAGTGGAGAAGGCCCTGCATTGCTGCATCCATTTTAATCTGCTTGATCGGCTCCTCATTTGTGACCAACGGGGGCCATGGTGGATCATCGGGAAGTCCCTAAACCGTCTCACTCTCTGCCGCCAATCCATTCCACACCCTCCCGATTTGCAAGCGATTTCAATATTCATAGCTTTCTACTTGTTTTCATTTTATAAAACTTCTCAAACATGGGCCACGTTGCGAGTTCGGAGCAGCCTGACTACAAGTTTGGAGACGATTTATAAAGCACAGGCAACACCGGGACATAAATCCAGTGCTTTGTCTTGTCGGGCTGATGGTGGAGGCCATGAGATGGAGGGTCCTCGTGCTGGTCGCAGGTGAGAGGAAGGGGGGGGTGAGAAGAAAAGGGCGCGAGCATGGCGATGCAATGTACCTTCTGTTGAGATGCGGCCGTGATGTGACTTGTTTGCTGTTGAGATGACGCAACGATGCTGGTTGATTGTGGTTTGGTGCTTGTACTGTCGTGTGTTGTTTGTTGTTGCGAATAGTCATTGATGTATGCTTGGTTGTTGAAGAGATCTTTTGAATCACGCGCTACCTAGTGTGAGAGCAGCTGTTGTTGTCATGTTGGTTGCGGACCTGAGATAGTGACAAATGTTGCCTGGACATGCGACTTTTTGTTGAAAATGGCTGTTGAGAAGAGTTGAATATGCTTGAGAAGGGTTGAAAAGAGGTCTGATAAACGCAATAAATGTTGTGAGGGTGTTACGGACTAAAACGTTTAAGCCTCAAACTCTTCGAGGAAGACTTTCGAGCAAGAGCTTGGTCGCTTTCTTTGTTTCTTCAATGACATCTATGCTTTTCAGGAATTTTGCAGGTCCAGAGCTTCAGTTTAGTAGTCCCGTCAGGTTCTCTCAGGCTTTCTCAGGGAGCTCATTTGTCGTGTCTGCCCATCAAGTCTCAAATGCAATCAAGACGGCTAAGCTCCTCCTTTCTCACTTCCCTTACTCTCTCAGGAACAGCAGCAGCAGCAGCATCAGATGCTGACCTCACCTCCGAGATCCGCAGGAGGAGGTTGGGCAGCACTGATCAAATCCTCGCGCGATACTTACATGCTTTTCTGCAGGACTTTTGCGATCATCTCACATCCAGACGCGGGTAAGACCACGCTCACTGAGAAGCTGCTGCTCTATGGAGGTGCAGTCCAAGAAGCAGGAGCTGTAAAGGCCAAGGGAGAGCGCAGGAGAGCAACTTCAGACTGGATGAAGATCGAGCAAGAGAGAGGAATCTCCATCTCGTCCACAGCCCTTCAGTTTGAGTACAAGGGGATGCAGATGAACCTTCTCGATACTCCAGGGCACGAAGACTTCTCGGAGGACACTTACAGGACGATAGCAGCTGCTGACAACGCTGTCATGCTTCTTGACGGTGCCAAGGGCCTCGAGGCGCAGACGCTGAAGCTCTTCGACGTGGTCAAGCTGAGGAAGCTTCCTCTCTTCACCTTCATCAACAAGATGGACCGTCCCTCCCTCGAGCCCCTCGAGCTCCTCGATACCATCGAGAAGACCCTGGGAGTCGTTCCCTGCCCCATGACCTGGCCAATTGGTTCTGGCGATCGCTTTCAGGGCGTGTATGACAGACAGAAGAAGAAGATTTACCTGTTCGAGCGAGTAAGCGGAGGAGGAAAGAAGGCGTCTGAGGTTCCTTGACCCGTCGCCCTTCAATGCCTCTGACCCCTTCAGGTGCAAATCGACGACTTGAACGACCCCAAGCTCAGCGGGCTGATCCCCGAGGAGCTTTTGGACAATCTCAGGGAGGTCAGGACGCACCTTCCTCCTCTGCGTTGACCTGATCCTTCCCGTGCGACAGGAACTGGAGATCTTGGACGAGATTGCAGAGCCTTTGGATATCAACAAAGTTCTCGATCAGAAGCAGGTGAATTTCATCTCTTGCCTTGCTGTTTCCTTCGTTGCACCTTGTGATAGTCAACCACAGTCTCCAGTCTGGTTCGGGTCAGGATACAACAACTTCGGTATTCAGAACTTCCTGGAGTCATTCATGGAGCTGAGCCAAGGCCCGAGGTGCTGCTCTTGGTCGATGACACCCAAGCACAACTCACATAGCATTCAGAGGACGCGCGAGCACTGACGGGGTGATCCCTCCTGACTCCTCCGAGTTCAGCGGCTTCGTGTTCAAGCTGCAGGTGAAGTGAGGAGGAGAATCTGGAGGCGGTTGAGAATTAAGGCAGGCAAACATGGATCCCAAGCATCGTGATAGGATCGCATTTGTGCGCGTTTGCTCCGGCAAATTCGAGAAGGACATGCAGGTTCTTGTGTCCTGGAAAGACCCGCCATGTCACACCTCATGACAACAGGTTCTGCACACACGCACGGGCAAGACGGTTCGTCTCTCAGCTCCTTCGAAGCTCTTTGCTCAGCGCCGAGAAACTATCGAGTCAGCATACGCCGGAGACATGTGACTCCTTCCTTTCTCTCTCCTCCCCTGAACGTCTTCAGAATCGGCTTTGTCAACCCTGGCGCCTTCGCCATCGGCGACACTATCACGACAGGAAAGAAAATCCAGTACGAGGTATGTCAGAGACCCGCACCCCCTCTTCTTCCATCGTGTGATTTCTTCCTCTTCAGGGGATTCCAAGCTTCTCGCCTGAGTTCTTCAACTGGATCAGAAACCCGTGCGAGCTCTTTGGCTCATCGCCGTCGCTGACGTCACGTCAGGAACCCAAGCAAGCAAAAAAACTTCAAGAAGGGCATCGACCAGTTGAGGGAGGAGGGAGCCGTGCAGGTGCTAGCACGATGAAGTCTTGTGACGTCTTCTCACTGAGAGCAAGGTGCTCTACTCCCTGAGTGACTTTGAGATCGACCCTGTGCTCGCTGCTGTCGGTCAGCTCCAGTTCGAAGTTGTCGAGAGCCGCATGCTCACTGAGTACGGCGTCGAGACGCGCTACGAACCTCTTCCCTTCCAGTCGCCTGATGCTGCACGTGCGATAGAGGTAGCTTACTTTCTCTCAGGGTTGCTCGATGGGTCAAGGGAGGTTGGCCGGTCGCCGACAAGCTGAAGGTTTTCTTGAGCTGCCTTTTGAAGCCCGTTGACGTGTGACAGGGAGTCTTGTTCAACGCGCAAATCTTCAAGGACGCACAGGAGCGACCGGTGCAATCTTGTTCCTCCATGTGGTCGTGCGGGTGACAGTTGTATAGGTAATTCTCTTCAAGAATCAGTGGGCAGTCGACAACTTCCAGGTCTTGCCGCATTCACCTCTCCTCCTTTCCCTGCCTCCTCCACTCACTCAGCTGCTCAGGAGAAGTTTGCAGATGTCGAGCTTCTCAACGTAGCTCCGTTGTAAAGATGATTGAAATTAGTTTATTTCGTTCGCATATCACCATTCCTCCTCGATCTCTTCATTTGCTGCTCGTGATTGTCGTAGTAGTCCCTTCAAGGGTCGGCAAACCATCCTGCCTCATGCCGCGCGTCCTTGTCCACCGTCCACTCGTCCTGCAGCTGCTCCTTCCCGAAGGCCACGCGCAGCTGGTAGACGAGCCGCGACATGGACGAGGTTACCGACCCCACGAAGTCGGAGAAGACGAAGGTTAGCATCCAGATACTCTTGATCGTCTCTAGCGCGTACATGCTCGTGTTCACCAGCGGGTCGTTCCCTGCTCTCTCGTTAGTCAGACGCAGGAGACACAAGCAGTGAGCACCTGGGAAGGCTGGCCATCGCGCGAGAGAGACACCGGGGGGAGCGAAGATGTGGCTACCGTTGTATCTTGCTTCGAGCGGATCGTGCAGCAGGGATACCTGATGTTGGTGGGCCATGCCCGGAAGCCCGTCAATGACCGACGGGTCGTCTGTGCTCACGTAGATATGCTTTACGCTGGGACAAAGCTTCTTCGCCTTCTGCAGGTAGACGTCAATGCTTCCAAAGTAGCAGCCCTGGTACTCGTCGTAGGCCTTGTCGCCTCGGCGAACATGCAGCCCGACACTGCATGGCTGCTCGCGGACTGTCAGGGGGACAACTGCCTTGACTCTTTCTCGGATGAAACTCAGCACAAACTGCTTTGGGCGGAAGAGATAACGTGTTAGCTGCGCTCGCCACCACAAGAGCCCTCGATGCCTGAAAGGCTCGGGGATCCAGTTCCGCACGACTGTCCCGTCGGGGGCTCGCGAGTTGCCGATCGCTTCCTGCCATGGCCCATCCACGTTGGCATAGTGCAGAACTCGCTCCTGTTGTGTGTCCACGCGGTAGAGATAGCCTCGATGATCCCAGCGGAAGTCAGCTCGCACAAAGTTGGTGTAAGGCTCCCAAACATCCTTCTCGCTGCAGCACGAGACAGGCTGGAAGTAACATTCCCAACCATGCTTACAGTCCCTTCCGCCATAGTTCCAGTGGTCTGGGTGCCTCGTTAAGAATGTTCTGTTGTTTGCAAGCGCGAAGTTGAACGCAACCGTCATGAAATGCACGTTTGCAGCGAATCCCCAGTAAGCTCGATCATGGTGGAAGACCAACGCGTTTCTCGAAGAGCAATTCGCTGGATGCTGCATGTCCCTGAGATATTTCTGAGCAAGCTTTGCCTCTTCATCCACGTCGTCCAATGACACGTCATTCTCGCGCACGTTCCAGCTTCTCTCACGATCTTTAGCCGGGATCTTGCTTGACGGGATAGAAATGTCGACCGTATCTTGTCCTACTATCTGCTCGTGTTGCCTGCAACAAGTCATGACTCAAATGGATACCTCGCAGAAATACTTACACAATGCACGAGTGAGATCTACATTTCACGTGATCAACAACCTTGGCAAACATGTCATCCCCGAGAGCCTGTGCAAACACGAAAACTTCAGGGTGAAATAGTGTAGCTGATCTTTCATACATACTTGAGCTTTCTCAAAGTATGGAGAAAGGTTCCCTGCACCCTCGATCATGGATTTCAACTCAAGAAGAAAAGATGTACGCAAGTAATGCCGCCTCCTTTCGAGCAGAACTCTGAGGACATCGTTTCGCAGGATTTCTTCGGCCCTTAGCTTGTTTCTGCCACTCTGAAGTCAGAACGTTGCTTACTTATTTGAATGCACGTACGTGAAAGAAGATTGCAGACGTTCGAGTACTTTCTCACGTGTGTCATTCCTGATGCATGATTCAGCTTCAACGAAAGATACCTTCAAGTCTCACGTGTACAACGGCACCTGATTGTTTGATCCCGATATCTTCACTACAACTGGTGTTATGGCTGCAAGTTTTGGAAACAATGACACAGATCCACAACCTGTACAAATTGACGGCGGATGAGCATTCCTCCCGATCAACTCTCTCATGCGCTTGCTTGAGGTCCCACATTCAACTCCAGAATGAACAGCAGATTTAAAAGGAATGAAAGCGTTGTAATCCACCTGACTCTCTCCGTTCAAAATCGCCTGTGAGGAGGTTGAGACAAGTTCAAAACATCCATGTACTGTTCTCACATGCACAGCATTGTGAGTGTCGGCATACCGTGGTGAAAGACATGTCTGACCCAGTACTGTGAACACCGAACTGTCATTCCTCCCTATGTGTGCAGCGCATCTTTCAGAATCGTTTGAGAAAATCGGAATCCTCTTCCATTGAAAAAAGATTCTTGTCTAAGTTTCTTCGTTGTTAGAGCAGGAGATGGCAGAGGAAAGCACAAACATCACCATAGAGTCTGCGCTTCCCATCTCTGTGGGAGTTGACTGATATTTCTTCGTGGGGCTGAATACTGGGAGGGTGAAGTTGTTCCCCAAATACTGAACAAGAACGCTGCCTTTCCATCGATTCTTCATTCTTTTCATCGCATTCAGTGTCCTCAAATCTGATGGAAGGAGCCGGCTTGCAAGCGTGTAGCATCGAAACGCAGATATCCAATCATCTTCGATCTCCATGTTTCGGGCTTGCAGGTATAGTTCATCTGCAAGCTGCGAGCCTCCATGTTCTCTCCCGTCCATTCTTCTGGTCGACGTCTGTTGGAGGTGGAGGAGGATGAGGAGGAGCTGCGGGACAGTCGCAACGAGAGTGTTATCCGCCATTGTGCGCTTGGACGATTCTGGTAGGGTGGAGGGGTAGGGGTTCTTTTCCGAAGAGATGAGTTTTCATAGCAAGACATCCTTGTAGTAAAGCTTTGCATGCAGGGAAATAAAAGAATCACAGAGATTCACACATACTTCGCCAACTTCAAACGCAATGTCTCGAAGGTCTGTGAATGTACTACTATTAAAAGCATATTCAACGATCAAAAACAGTTTTTGTAGGGGTACTCCATATATGGTTGGCGAGCGGCCGGTTTGAAAGATTGCTGTGATGGTGGTGCGGGCGCCGACGAAAATGACAATACGGAGGGATGAGGAAGGGAAGAAGAGGGTGAGGGTGCGAGGAGGGAGGGAAGCACACAGAACAAGCTGACTAGTGTACAGAAGAAAGAAGAAAATAGGAGTTGAAATACAGAGCAAGGTTGGTGCTTGCGCAGAAATGTTTTGGCAAACTGGGCAGGCCAGCATCTGTTTTCTGGCAAGGTCAGAGTGTGCAAGATTTTATATGGCTAGATAATTGCAAAGAGGGAGGGAAGCACACAGAACAAGCTGACTAGTGTACAGAAGAAAGAAGAAAATAGGAGTTGAAATACAGAGCAAGGTTGGTGCTTGCGCAGAAATGTTTTGGCAAACTGGGCAGGCCAGCATCTGTTTTCTGGCAAGGTCAGAGTGTGCAAGATTTTATATGGCTAGATAATTGCAATCTACACTATTTCTCGCCCAACCCCCGCCCCTTGCTCCATCAATTATCATGATTGCTATCAATGCGACTCGCTGATACTGTTCTTTAGACCGTTGCATCCCACGATCCTTATGAGTTGGGCTATCCGGCTTTGAAATCAGGGGTGATAGGAGATGGCTGGAAGAGATGCGATCGGCGGTTATCAGCTCCTTGGAGGTGCAAACATAGATCAAAATCTTGCTCAACATCTTTTGCAAAATGGCCTCACTCAGGGATGGAATGATCCCAACTCCATGAACATCAATTCAAATGATGCGCAAAATGCTGTGAATTTCTCTCAGGGTGTGGGAATTTTTGGGCAGATGGGCCAAAATTTTCTCCAATCATCTCAGAATAGACAAGTTGGCTTCAATCAACAGAATTTTTCTCCATACAATGCTCAGGTTTGAAGCTATTAATACCTCATCAGAATAATTTGCCCATGCAGGTTGAGGCCATGAAAAACTCACCCGGTTTGCCGCAATCAAATGGTTTAAACGATCAGAGCATGTACAACCTCATGGGGTCAACCGCTGCCCAGTCACTCCCTCAGTAACCATTTCCTTGTTCAATTTGGACACGCTGACATGTGTTCAGATCCCTCGCTAATCCTTCGTTCACCTCAATGAATCAGTTTTCGGGTCAAAACAACATGGCACAGGTTGGTGTTTCTCATTGTTGTACTTGGTCCAATCTTTGCGGGAAAGCAGGACAAGCTTACGGCACTGGCACGCGCCCTCGGTCTGAATCAGCAGGTTTTCACAATCTTCTTGGATTTCCTAGGCTGCGACATGACGTGGGCCAGGGAAATATCCCGGGAAACGAGATTTCGCAGAATCAATTCTCTGCTGCGCAGGTCAACAATCACGTTTATCTCTCCATAATGGCTGATGGTATGGTTGTAGGCCTTGTCACAAGCGCAACAATCTCTCATGCAGGTCACCCTCCTTTTCTTGCTCTTCCGCTATCGCGTAGGGAAGCATGGGCATTGACCTGTCTCTTGTTTACAGAAAGCTCAACAATCTTCCCCCGACTTTGCGCAAGCACAGCTAGTGCAGGTGTGTCCATCGTACCATTCGACTTGAGAACTAGGGATTTCGCATTTCTCACATTATGACAGCAAAACATGCTGGCACTGGCACAATTACAGGCTCAATCACAACTTCAAAACCAGGGCGGCTTGCTCCAGGTCAAGCGATTGAAAGTAGCAAGCGATAGGATCTTTGATTGAATGTCTCGAGCAGTCCATACCGGCAAGTTATTCGGCGCAGCAGGGTGTCCAAAACATAAATGGTGTGCAGGATCTGATGAATCAGGTGATTTCGTACATATGTTTCGATTTTGCCATCCTCGATCCTTACTGTTGCTTGCAGCTGATGCAGAGGCAAGCTGTCGCGCATGGTGGGACTGGGCATCAAAGTTTGGTATGGAAATTCTCATGCAATTGCATTATCCAGCATTTACTTCGTTGTATTTGATTGAAATAGGCCAAGCCGGATGATTTGGGTGGATTCGCCTCTCAAATTACAAGAGCAGATGATCCAAACGTACTTTCAAAATCTTTTATTGATTTGATGCATCCCTCGCTGCCTGCCTCCCTGTCTTCTTTGAATTTTCTGTTCTCGTGATAGTCAAGGAAATCTTGACATGAATGCATCAGATGTCCATGGCTTTGCAAGGAATTTTTCAACAGAGCTCACCTCAAATCCGTATGGTGAGTGAGGCTATCAAGTCGCCCATGCCACTTGAAACGTGAAAGATGATGGATGGTGCCACAGGATGCGGACTCATTTTTAAATCAGGGTGCCCATTCCTTGCAGGTGGTCCATGAATAAGATCTTGTTCATCTTTAGTAATCCGTTCAGTGCTGTAACATTGTGTCATGATTGTTTCCATTCCATGCTCTTGTTTTTGTCGCATGATCCAATGCTTCCTCTTGTTGTTTTTGTTTTTATACTTCATGATCTGCAATTTTTCTTGACAGCTTCTCCAACTCCAACAACTCCAACAAGCCCAGTACATGCAGCAGCAGCAGCAGCAGCAATTGCAAATGCAACAAATGCAGCAGCAGTTACAAATTCCTCAACAAATGCAGCTTCAGCAAGAGCAACAGATCCAGCAGTTGTTGCAGATGCACATGCAAGCTAGCGCGCAACAAGCACAGCCCGTAACATTCAATTTGCAACCGCAGCCGATGCAGGAGCAAACGCACATGTCTCTACCTAATCAATTTCAAGCGCATGTTCCTATCTCATCAGCTCAACAAGAATTGCAACCAACGTCTCAGCAGCAGATGCATCAGGCCTCCATGCCCTCACAATCAGTCAAGTTGAATGAGAAAGAGCATAATATTCAACAACAGGTGTTTCAGGACTAAACTTTCGTATTTGTTGGCTGATTTGCTGCAAAGGCGGAGGCTTCAACTGCAAGGAATCTCACAGACAGTTCGCACAGAGATACGCAGCAACAGGTACGTTGGCTCACTTTATCTCCAGACACGTTACTTATACTTGCAGCCTGTCTCCACGGCCTCTTCACAAGAATCCCAACGCCGGGATCAAGTTTTTGTGTCAAACGGGAAATTCAACATCACGATGGCCACGTCCGATGGTAAGTTCGGTTGTCCAGCTGGTCGAGAGTCTCACGAGCAACCAGCAGGTGTAACCAAAAGCAAAACAAATTCAAATGAGACCCCGAGAGACGAGCTTGATGAGAGCAAAAGTGGTAAGAAGGAAAAGAAACTTTCGAAACATTCGAAAGAAAACGACAAGTCGCTAAATGACATCAAGTCCGCCAAGTAGGAATTGAAATTTCCCTATGAAGCTGTGCTGATGAAGAACGTATTCACAGGGAGAGTTCGGCTCAACGTCCTCCCAAACCTGCCGAGGTCTTTCCTTTGCTGTCCTACATGCTCCCTCACCCCTTGCATCAGCGGCAACCCTCCAACAGTGTCTCGACTGCAGACGCTGCCATTAGCGACCGCAAGGGATCAAGCGAGGGAGAGCACCAAGGCAAGAGCTTGGAAGAAGACAAGCAACCCGTGCATGACCCAGGCAACAAGTTGGCTGCTCCATCCAGACACGTCAACGATGGACTGGCTGCATTCGTGTCTGCTGGAACGTTGCAGAGCTCCGTAGTTGATGGCACAGGGAAGGAGGAGGCGAGAAACGGAAGCTTGTCAAGCTTGCCAGAAGAAGCAGCAGATGGTCATCAGGAGGAGGCAAATCGAAAGCGTAAGGAAGAATCGGATGCCAAGGAGCAGAAGAAAGCAAAGAAAATCAAGTTGAAACGTGAGGCGGGCGACAAGGAAGGGCAAGAGGACGGGCATGGTAAGGCTATGAGGTCGCAGGCTTACTGTGATGGTGATCATGAAAGCAGACGGAGAGGCGGGTGAGAAGAAGAAGAAGAAGAAGAAGAAAGACAAAGACACCAACGTCAACGCTGCCCATTCAAACGAAAAGAAAACTGTTGGGGAAGCGGAGGCTGGAGAAAGTGTTGCCGGAAAAGAGGACTTAGCAGCAGATGGGTACAATTACTCTGTTGCAACTCATCTTGTCTTGACTATGGTGACAGGGGCGGAAGTATTGCAAAGCAAGAACACAGCGACGATTCTCGTCAGGTCAGGTTGAGCTGGTTGTTGTGCGCACGTGACGTGTGCGGCAGGAGAGTAAGACCATCGCGTTCAGGCGGAAAGTGGAGATAGTAGACGATGTCGATGACTGAGCGACGCGCTTGTATGTTGAGAGTTGTCACGACAAGATGTGTCAGGATTGATCTCACAATAACTTGTTTTAAATGAAACTTGAGAATCTCATCCCCCTCGCTCCTCACGCCTCATCTCTGCTCACCACTCGTCCCTTCATTCCTCCTGCATGCTCTTCCACGTCTCTTGTCATCGCGACTCGCCCGCAGGCGGAGGTCTGACGTTGGTCAGCACCAGCGCCTCGTTGTGCTCGTGGAACCCTCCTTCCTTGGCGTTGATCAGCGCAGCTCGCATATGCTCGCGCAGCTCTGCAAGGGAGGAGTAGGCTGGAAGCCACCTGCAACGCCATGAGAGAGAGCAAGGTTGCCCCCTCTTAACTCACATGAGCTTCGAGCATGTTCGACTGCGCGGGTAGCGCGATCGAGTCTCAGGAGCTATCTCAATGCTGAGCGACGCCAGGCCCCCTGCCGCATCATCGTGAGCCTCCAACATGCCGAGCAGGACGACACACCGGGAGGAAGCCGCGGACAAGCAGTCACGAAGTCGAGGAACCTGCAAGACGTCAGCCTCGAGTTGTATCCTTCGCCTCCTTTTTTCGCCCTGCCCCTCAACTCCCTTGCAAAATTCTCCTCCTTCCTTCGAGCTCTCCACCCCTCGAACCTCTCGCCCTCTCTTTCTTCAATGTTCTGCCTGACAACCGACCTTGCTCTGTCCGCATTGGACATGGACACAAGCTCTTCGAGTAGCATCTGCACCGGCGGACTCTCTTTGGTGTACCTTGACCCTGCGCTCAGGCCGTCAGACCTTCTCCTTCTCCATCATCCCCACGCATCACCCTGCTCATTGCTGACAAGCTTAAAATGCTGTTCCAGCGAAGCTTTGTCCCACTCGATCACCCTCTCGCCGCAGAGCATCAGTTCGATTTCCGCCGCACTGAAAATCTGCACGAGTTTGTCAACTCTGAGCAGGAACCACACCAAGAACCTGGAGGGCAGAGAAAGGGAAGACATCGTTGATGCCCTGCTTGAAAGCTGAGATCTGTCTACAGATCCCCTTGTTGAACCACATGTCCGCAACAAGCTCCACGTATCTCTCAAGATTCTGCACACTCAACTGGATGCTCTCTCCGTTCGTGCACAGAGGGGAGTTGGTCAGCGGATCCACAAACTTGGCTTCTGACGACTCCCAGAACTGACTGAGAGAGCATTCATACGAGCGATTCAGGTACGTAGCCATGAACTCCCGATCTTTCACTTGTTTGTAGACCGCGTCAAGCTGCTCACTATTCACATTTGCACATTGTGCCTTTAAATCAGATACTATTGCACAGTAAGCATCAACAAGATGCAGCGACGACCAGTCGTCTGAAGGGAGCAACGCTTCTCTCCCCTTGTTGAAAGTTGCCAAGAGCTCTAGAGGAGACTCATTAAACACATTCTGCAAAGTTCGAAAGAAGTGCGGATGGAGAGGCAGAGGTACCGTGAACTTGTCCCTGCACGCCTTCGCGAAAAGTCTGCCCATAAATCGAAACTGTTTTTCAAGCGAGGACACGAGATCCGGCGATGCGTTCTCAGGCAGAGGTTGAGGGAACAAGCCGTCAGGGTTAGTGAGGTATTTGAAAGGGCCGTCCGGCTCCATCGCATACTCGGCGTCATGTCCATCGGAGATCCATAGCTTGTTCTGATGGTTGAGCTTGCGGACCTGCAGAGCGACTGAAACAGCTTCGTAGAAGTTCTGCGTGACTCCTGAGCCGAAGCCATCCTCTTCATGGAACTGCACCTCCAGGAGATGCTTCGAGGCGTGATGCACGTCGAATAAGCGCATCGCATTCTCGAGGATGTTTCCTCGAGAAACCCTTGCGAGATCAGAAGCGATGGCTCCGATCCTCTTATTGTACATCCTCCTCTCAATGTCATCTAGATCGTCAGTGGCCCGTGAAATCCCATCAATGTCTTGCTGCTCGCGAGCTCTCGCTAGCTGCTGCTGCGCTGACCTCATGCTGTCTGCATGCTTGCTGCGGTAGGCTGCAACCTTCCACTCTTGGAAACGATAGACGGCATGAGAAGATCCAAATCCACAACAGTCCAACAGTCGTTGCCTGGCATCAAGCGAGAACAGAAAAGGAACGACTCTCGGGATGCTCATGCACCAGGCAGGAAGAGAGCAGGAACAAAACGACAGCGCATCTTGCAATTGACATGACAGCCTCTTTGTGAGCCATACACTTTGCCAACTCTTTTGATTTCCACTGAATTTGCCAACTCTCCTGTAAAGAAGTTTGACAACCTCTAAAGCTTGTTTCACTGGATCATTGAGTTTCACACAGTTGGAATTCCAGACGTCTCGGGTGGATTCACAATCTTCCAAGCTCATGGCGTGTTGGGCGCGACCTTTTCGTGCTCCGTCCTGTACTTCGAACATGTCGCTACACCAATCATCGATGTCTCCTTCAAGAAACCGCATAGAGTAGTGCAGGATGTAACTAGCCGGAGCCACGTCGCCTGTGTTGGTTCCCTGTAAGCTCTGATGTACCGTCTTGAACGATTCAATCGCGCTGGAGCTCGGAGACCGGAGTTTCTCATCATAGTGCCAAGTGTCGATTGCTCGTTCTATGAATGAAGCAAACTCGTTCCTGTGAATCGTCCGCTTTAAGAAAGCTGCAGCTGATGGCGAATGAGATACGGCCTTGTTCTCATGACAAGGCTCCCATATCAGTTCGAATTGCTTGTTCTGCTGCCATCTTGCCTCTTCTTGTCCAGACGCATACAGCATGAAGTATGGTTGGAAGCTGCCTCTCGGTATTCCAAGCTGATCTAGGCATTCCGGTGTGGTTCCCGATAAGATTCTCAAAAACTTTCCGTTTCCAAACCTTTGAGCTAACGATTTGATTAGGCTGCTTGCGCTCTTGATCGGTGGAGGCCACGACTGGCCTGAAGGTGGACGCGCCTGTGCATCTACCACGAGGATGCCTACGAAGGAAGACTTGGACTTCTCGAGAGCAGCAGAGAGTTGCGAAGCACTCTTGACTTTGATCATCTCACCTCCTTGTTGAGGAACGTCGAATTCTACCTTCAAGGGCTTGGGCGGCAACACGATAGTCTTTGACTGACCAAAATCTTCCGTCATGGGCACCTGGCTTGAATTCCACATCTCTAGCCTTCGTTTGGGAGCGGTGTAGCCGTCTCTATTAATGTCTCCCACCTCAAAGCATGAAAACTTTCGCCTCAAATCTGCAGTTGGTCGTGTCTGCGCCCCTGTGAAGACAGCAAGTTGCTCTAACATTCGTGCATCACGAACGTGCGACACCATGAGCTCATGAATGTCTGGCGCCAGGGCCCTCCGATTTCCAACCCCCCGACCAGCATTTTTGAGTCCCTTGATATGATCTTGAGGAATCATCGAGAGCCAGCTCCCATCATCGCAGATAACCCCGAAACGGTTCGCGTCTTCGACCATCAGAAGCGTCCCTGTTACCCACTCCTTCTCTCCAGTGCTGACTTGAACCCTGTCTCCTATAGTCAATCCAGACCCTGCCCCACCCTGTGATCGCTTGACCTCTCGCGCACGGAGAGTGTAATCTTGCGAGTCATCTGTAACTATGCGACATTGCACCACCGAGGAAAGTCTCGAGACCAAAGTCTCTGCCTCATACTGCGTCTGCCCTCGAGCAATGGCTCCAGTTTGCACCTCTGCTAAGGCTGTCATAAGAGATTCGTACCAAGCTTCTTCATGGTCAAACCCTCGATCAGGCCACTTGTATGGATCCCCAAGATGTCCTGACGCTGGCGCTACCAGTGGATCAGCTTGCGACAAAGCGTGTCTCAGATGTTCTTCGACCTCCTCAAAGAACAATTCGGGTGGAAATCCTTCTGGGATCACTATCAACACAGTCTGATTACGCGTGGGTTCTGTGTCTGCCTTTGTCTCCACAGCCATTGCCTCATCTGATTTCCCGATGCTGAAGTCCTCCAAAATCTCGAGAAGTGCCTGCACCTTCCTTGAATCCAAATCCGAACCTGAAACCGTACCGTCTTCATTAAACTTGAAGTCCAGTTCGCAGAGGAGCTCTCTACCCCATCCATGCTTCACTAATCTTTTGACCTCGGACTCTGATAAAACACTTGCAGACAGCATTCTTCCATTCATAGAGAGCTGCGCTTTAATCCATGCCAGAAAGCTTTTCACTTCTGGGCTTGCAATTCCATGCGCACAGAAATACGAAAATTTCTTGCGTATTCCATCGCCCCAATCACCATGAGATGGCATATCCCTGATGAAGAATTCTCGTCCAAGTAAGTTCACAAATCTTTCTTCCTGTGCTCCATCGAGGTATTTGATAGTGTGAATCGGAATTCGAGGAGGGCTGATGTCATGAGTTGATAAATCGTAGAAGAAAGGAGGCTTGAAACTGATTGACACACATTCGCCTTTCGTCTGAAAACCAACAGTTGTGTGAAGGCCACTGGTATCAACAATACGAATCGGTTGCCCTTGCAGTACTCCATTGCGAGTAAAGAACAAAGAAGAGCGATTGAAATCTATTCCACAGCCAATGACATCTCCCTCGCTCCAAGGCGACGAGAGCGGAGTTCCGGTACCACAACTGTTAAACGTACAGCCATCGTCACCATGCCACGCGTGACTTACTGGTTCCCATCCAGGCATCTTATTGTTTGAGTATCCAGCTCGAGCTAAGCCAACACCAATGGCACCTGATGGGCCCCGCTTGCGGATCATCACCTCGAAATACGCAATCTGCGTTCTCGCATAAGCTCGTTCGTCATCGATGAAACATAGAACAAGACCAAGACTGACAGCAATTCAGGAGGAACAGAATACCATCGTGTAGGAGGAAGTGGGTAACTAGAATGACACAAAAGAAAGACATGTGGACAAATAAAAGCGAAGAATAGTATATTTTCACACATGGACACTTAAGTCTTACCGGGCCATCGATGGACCTGCTAAAAGCTCGATTTGCCTGGACTGTACCAGCAGGACTTCCTTTGCTGATGCACGTAACGACAAGATTATTCCCATCCTCACTGACAGACAGGCAAGAAGCCTGTGTCGTTGGGTCAAGTGCAATTTCCACATTTTCATCCATTTTAACATCTGCTGCATCTGTATCGCTTGTCATTTTTTCACGGATACTTTCTGATGGAAGCATTTGAAATCCGACAACCTGCAGTCAAATGGATAAGAGTATTACATCTCTAGAATCGGATTTACTTGAGCCCGCCGAAAACTTGAACCACTGGCTCCTGCCGGCCTTTCTTCAATTTTCGAACCCAATATGTAGTGACAGAATGCAATGTATTTGGTTGGTGGTGTACAGATGCGCAGGAAATGACGCTGCAGCTCTTCAATCCGCCTATGGTTTCCAACGAATCGAATTAGTATACAGATTGCTTCATGACAAATTCAAACATACAGTAGAGGTTCGACGTGAAGTGATAAAGAGGGAACTCCAAGGACCGGTTTTGGTTGCGCATCACATTCCGATCCCGGCATACTTCGCGGAAATAGGTCAAGCTTGACCGGACGCGTAAGATCTTGCAAATCATCAGATCCCATGGCAGTTAGTGGCCAAACTTCCTCAGAACTGATGAGATCTATTAGCGGTCGAATAAGATAATCAATCTTCAGGCCCGTATTCCCAACATTCGCGTTACTCGTAACGCTCGAGTCGCTTTGTATGACCTCTTCAAATGGAGCAAAAGCAGAGTTGAAATTCCTCCATTGTTCTTTGTGCATCTCACCATCACCATCCAACGCTTGCAAAAGAACTGATGGCAATGCAGAGGAAACTATTTCCTGTGGACAAGAATATTTCGAGGACATTAGCGTTGCTGAAAGATTCCTAAAGCCCTCTGGTTGCCCCGAGCGAATTTCCTGACAAGCATTTCGTAGATTCGCACACAAACTAGACTCCTGGGGAAACGGAGGTGCCTTTGAAAGGATGTCCTGTGCCAATTTGGTAATATGCTTCTCTTTTATTTTCCCACTCTTGGAGATCAAGAGACCAGCTTGAACATCTTGTTTGGTTTGCGATGCATTGGACAAACGCTCGACCCATCTGATCAACCCAACTTTCCTGAAATTCCAAGATCACACACAACAGCACATATTCAAAAGTTCTGAAGTACCTTAAAAGTTGATAGTGATTTGGTACTTTGTCTATCAAACAAAAGATGATTCGCAGTAGGCAAAATATGGCATCCAATGAATCGCATCCATCACCACGAATTTGTTGCAGCATAATTTCATATAGATTTTCTGTGTTACGAAAGGCAAGGTGTGAAACCTCAGAATCGTTGATGGCGGGTAACACATTGCAGAGCAATGAGGTTGAGAGCTTGTCCAGCATATAACTCAAAAATCCGACAATGGTAAGAAGAACAGTAACATCATTTTGCGAGCTGCCAACAGAAATAACAAGCGGGAGGATTTTCGCAATAGCTGTGAAAAAAAACAAATATTCAACATCTTGTACTTCACCACGAACTGTTCAACCACCTTGATTTTGCAACAAAGCTCTTCTTTCGCTGGAAAGTGAAGTTGATTGATACTCCAAGATCTGTGTAATTTTCTTATTACCAAAATGTGCAATAGCCAGAGCAAGTAGCAAATCAATACAACATACCATTTTACTGATTTTACCTCCATCCACGTCAAGGTTGCTCAAATCGACACTTGTTGCATCACAACCATGTTCAAGGAGACAGGAGACATAATCGGCATCCTGCATATTCACAGCAGCCTACAACCAAAGTTATCATAGACACATGACATATTGACGGAAATCAACCTGTAAAGGTGAAAGTTTGTCAGGAGATACATCAGGATCAGCTCCAGCCCGTAGCAGAGCACCAACAATTTCAACAGGGCATTTCTTGTTGATAGCGACTAGAATAGCAGGATTCCCCGATTCATCAGTAACGTTGGGATCGGCTCCCTCTTTCAAAAACTCATTGACCAAGTTTGGGTCACGAGCTGGAATTGCTCTCTGATCAAGATTAAGCATTAGAAGGCAATCATATCCGATTGAAATGAGTGCAGAACGATTGCAACAGATCAAAACAGTCTAGAGGAAGTTCAAACCTGTAGCAAATATTGATTTGCCCGAAAATTCGAAGATGAGCTCGCAGAAGTCCATCGATGTAAGGCTCTGACTTGTGAGGCCTCCACTCTCATAGTTTCATTGGGTGAACTGTGAAATTTGATCGTGTAGCTATATAAAAATACTCTCAGTCATGTTCAACGGATATGATCGCAGTGGAAAATGATCGAGAAGCAAGCATTCAGGATAAACTCACGTTCCATCTGAATTCTCAGACTCAATTATTCCTCTTCTTGGTGCGATGGAGTCATCTCCTTCATTGCATACAAGTACCTTTCACCACGTCAGTACACATCCACACACAAAGCTGTATGCACACAATATCTCCCTTCCGCAATGCCATAGAACGTCGCAATTTCAGTGCTTTCCTCCCGTCTATCAGAATCTAACATGTATCATCAGGTGCAAATCTCTCTTAAACCACCAATACATGCATAGACTGCTGAATTTCCTCCAATATCGATAGGGAAAGGGGTCTCGAAGAGACCTTATTACATATCTTTTCAACAATCTTATTCCACTCTTCTTCCTGTGGAAAAAATTACAACAAGAAGAATTCGATGAGACGGTCAACCGTCCGTGGAATCATTGGACATTTGCCGTTCGAATTAAATGCAACAGCATTTGACGAGATGCGCGACTCTGTGAAAACGTAAATTCAAGCAAACTTCCTTGTGTCGAATAGGCACTAGCCTGCGCCTCGTATCAATCCTTCATGCATCAGAGCTGAACGGCCGGATATTGTTTCCTCCACGAGCTCCCTTAATTGAACATCGGCTCCAATGTTCTAACGTGGAATCAGCGCAAGTGACCAATCACAGTCATAATACAAAATTGGAAGGTGAAATGGATGCATTGTTCAAGATCAAACTGGGAACATCAGATCCACGCCTTGAGTATGCATCAAGCCAGGTTGAAATGATCGCAGAGACAAACCCTTGTCGACTTGAGTGCTCTTGCTCGTTTAGGCCCAAAAAATGGCCAGATGCAGACTGGGTGCCTAATGTCAAAAACGATGGTCCCGACGCACCCATCCAGATATGCGAAGAATTGTCGCCAGAGTCGTTCAATTGATGAATCTGCGTCAAGCAAAAGATCAATATTGGGCCTGACGGAATTGAAATACGATGCAACTACCTGTAAATTTGAAGTTGATGAAGACATCCCAAGAACACTAGCACTTGACTGTTGAATGGTAAAAGAAAAACTTGCTGCTCGCAAAAAATGTAACGTGAATCGCATTTAGCACTCGAGCGGATGGCTTACCATTCGAATCTTGAGAACCGGCTATGAAGCTAGAATTCCCAATATTGGACATAAACGAGGGAACAGGTGGTGATCCAACAAGTTGCATGGGAACCGCCTCGTTATCGAATTCACCAGACAATTGTTCAGGAATCTGTTACCCCAACAACGCAGATATCAAAGCCAGAGCGAAAGGAAGGAAAAGAAAGGAAAAGAATAATAAAGCAACAGGAGGGAGAAATTAGGATTCGAACAAAGATGGAAATAAAGATGGAAATAAAGCATTAGTTCGCAAACGCAATAAGAAAGATAAACTTACATTCATATCGCTTTGGCTTGACTGGTCGTCTTCCATTTTGAGGTCTCAATCAGTTGAAGACGATCCTCTTCGAGCTTTCATACTAATCGTTCATCCCAACAAAATCAACATTCCTGTTTCAAGATCAAGGTAAGACTTTGGAATCCAAGCACAACAACATCCCAAACCATGTGCGATACCAATGTACCAAGCATTTAACCAGAAATCATTGAACAAAGAGGGGGTATTTGAAGGTAGAAACGATGACAATAAGATGCACAAGGAAATCCACATGAAAATCTTACAAACATACAAAGAAAAAAAATAGAAAAATCCTAACTCTTGTTCTATCACTGTTGAGCAACACATGTCCACAAGTCTCCATCCGAGGGAGATTTGCACAACAGTTTGAGATAAAATACAGGGAGGAGAGAAGGACGAGTACAAATACCAATGGAAGTTATGGTAAGATGCATATGTCAAGCACGAAATTGTTGGGAAATGCAGCTGAGGTTGCGCCATCTCCGCGGCGCTGCCTTGCGGATGGTCAGCATGCACGAAGGGGTTGGTCCAGGCATTTAAGAGGAGGTGGGGTGGTGGCTAATGGGGTGGGGGTCGAACTTGCATCTAGAATGTGGAATCTTCAAAAATTGGGGTGGTGGGAGGTGAAATCTGCTAAAACCAAGTTTCTTGAGGGGTGGGGTATTGATTTTGAGGGGTGGCAAAGGAGCGCGTGGGGAAAGGGTATGATAAAATACAGCAAAGTTTCGATTGTGAGAGGACTCTGGTGTGAAGGAGGGCTGTCCTTGAGCCTGTGCCTTACCGCAGCGGGTACAACAGGTACAAGGTGAGAAACAGGGGGTAGGGGTGATATGCATTGAAGGATATGGTGCTGTTGATGGCCGAAGGAGACGGGTGGGTTCTCCGACTTTCATGGGGAGCTAGGGGTGCTATCAAGTTGTGGTAAGAAAAGGGGGTAGGTACGCCTTTTTCGAAAACTTTTACTTGAACAAAGTCCGATCGGATGGGCCTCAGCCGGGT